CTATAGGTTCTCCTACTACCTCTATACTTTCCTTATACTAATACTTTCTCTAGGCCCGAATTACTCTACTCCCTTAGCCTAAGAGAGATTTATATAATTTAACCGCTAGTAAGCTTAGAGCTAATATAATAATAGAGGATATTAAGATTAAAGCTATCGATAACTAGCCTACTAGACGAGTACGACGATACTTCTATATAGATACTAATAGTAATAAAGGTAAGCGGCTTCGTACTACTAATAGAGATTTCTATACTTTTACTAACTTAGAATAATTATTATTAGATAAACTTATAAAGTAGGTAACTTATAAGCGACTCGTAGCTAAATTTCCTACTATACCTTTAAAACGCCCTAGAACTAATAGTCCTACTAAGGATTCTAATTATTACTCTAGCTCTAGTCCTAGCTCTAAGTAGATTTCTAGCTTTAAGTACTACTCTACTATACTAATAGTATACTTTTTTATTTTATATTCTACTTTTATAGATTTTTAAAGTTAAATTCTAACTTTTTATTATTCTTTAGCTCTATAGCTATTAAGTAGTAGTTATCTCGTATACTTTATATATACTATATCCTTAATAGGCCTTATTATATTAGGGCTCGAGGCGCTTAGTTATAAGAGAAGAGAGAAGGGGCCTTAGCATGGAAGAATAAGTAAGGGAGGAAGAAAGTAGACGATCGAAGAGACAAGCAACGCGAGGAGGAGCAACCTAATATACGCGAGCTTACGTTGAGTATTAGATAGTAGTTATAAGAGTATAGTTTATAGAATTAAGAGCGTTTTTCCTTCTACGAGTTCGGCTATATAACTATATAGCCTAAATTTTAGTAGTAGTAACCTTTACGAATAAAGCTATTATAGCTTTATATACGTCTATTACGAGAAGTCTTAAAAGTATAGTCCTTTAGCGGACTTAAGACTATAGAGATCGATAGCGTTACTATTCCTCCGCTAATATAGGTAAGTAAAGAGTATCGTTTTAGTTATAGCTACTATAGTATTCGTTTTAACGTCGATTAGTTCTTATTCTACGGTCCTAGAAGAGAGAGAAACCCTAGTAACGTAGCCCTACTCCCTTATCCGACCTATAGGATAGGCGAGAATATATACCGATTTAATCTTAATATAAATAGTACTTCTTAAGAGAACGAACGAGTATTATAAGTATATTATCTTATAAAGGACCTTAGAACTATAGGAAAGACGACTACTAGCGGTCGGACCTAGGAGAAAACTATCCTAGAAGGTTAAAAACTACGAAAGAACGAAGTATTAGTTTAACCCTAAGAACGACGAAAGAATAGGTATACGATACTTCCGAAACTATCGGAGGAGTATTTCATTAAGAAAGCTTTTTCCTAACTTAAAACCGAGCGGAAAAGTTTAGGAACGACTTTACTAGAA